AAAACGATATATACAAGTACACATACTTGCATTTACATGTACAAATATGAATATATATGTAAATACACACACGTATGTGCTCAGACAAAACAAAAAAGAAAATGAATAAAATAAAATAGAGTCTAAATGACATGAAATTACAATTATTAAGATGAATGATGGTTTCTAAATTATAAGGCTTTTTGTCAATCTTTAACCAATAAATCATTAAGTTGACCTTGAAGACCTTTGTGGATGTAAGCCAATCACTAACATTATTATCTACACTGCTTAACTCTGTGTATTTGAAACTAATACCAAAACAAAACTGAAAAAAGTCTTAAATGTGTGATTAACAGGATCAAGATTCCGCCTTCGATGGTTTACACCAACTACTGAAGTAGACCTGTGCAGTCATGCCACTCTGGCCTCTGCAGCAGTGCTATTCCAACACATCAGTAAGATGCAACATTTACACGCAAAAAGGTTTTTCAAAAAAAAAAAGTGACATCATGGTGCACTAGAAAAGGCCGCTGGAGCTATTTTTAAAGATGCCTGCAATGCACAATGCAGCTGACTGCAAGAAGGAGCAAAGAGGTGCCAGCATGTAACCATGTAATGGATTTTTTCCTTCAGAAAATGTAAATCCCACCCTGGTGTTTGAGACCAAAAGTGGAGATCTTTGCGTCACCCAGAAGGAGGAAGGGTACATCATGGACTTTCCTCTGAATCCCCCCACCAGAGTGGTAAAACAAACTTTCCTGTTTAGTTACATGAACAATTTAATCAAATCCTGTAATGTAAAAAAACGAGCTCTTGTGTTTTATTAACAGTGTATGTAAAATGGCTTTCTTTCTGAACTCCCTTTATTTCAGGATCCCAACGACTTCAAAGACACCATCAAGGTCAGAAATCACATTTTTGTGAGCAGTTTGTGAAAGTGTAACTACATTCCTGTGTGTGTGTTCGGCTAAGTCTCTGCCTTTACATGTGTGACACAGGCGGCAGTCGGACACCTCCCGGTTCAGGAAGTTTTATTTTGCTACAACACCAAGAAGCTGCTGATTCGACTGGCTGACAGCTGTGACATGTTGGTTAAAAAACACTTTGCTTGTTGCCAAATTCAAAGGAATCTCAATAGTGGTCCTACTGTTCATGAGATCTTAAACATTTGTTCAGCAACAACAATCAATTATATTTCTCAGGTGCCCGGCTAGTGGGGCTTATTCATATGTTTAAAGCCCAAACAAATAATCAAGCAACTGGCCTTCTACACCCACTCATCACGTTTTAGTAAATGTATATGTGCTTTTTGTGTATTGTCTCCAGCTCCGCGCTTACCGATCTGAAAGTTGACACTGTGGCTCTTGAGAATACTGAGAGAAGTGGAAGATTCTGCGCCGTCATCGTCACTATGAAAGGTAATCGGAGCTGTGCGTGTCGTAGAGTTGTAAACTTGCTGGATCGGACCACATGTAGTAATTCCATTAAAATGAAGACGTAACAGTAAAGAATAAACCAGAGGAAACCCAACATGAAGTGTTTAAGTGAGGTGTGGTCCCACCATGTACCATCAGAAAAGCTTCAATGCACCTCTGTTAGAGGGATGAACAGCACTCTGCCAAAAACATTCCCTCATTTGGTGTTTTAATGATGATGGTAATGAAGAACACAGTCTGTGATTCCACTCATAATATAGGCCAGGGTCCCCAATCCCAGTCCACGAGGGCCGGTGTCCCTGCAGGGTTTAGATGCGTTCTTGATCCATCACAGCTGATTTAAATGGATAAATGACTCCTCAACATGTCCTGAAGTTCTCCAGAGGCCTGGTAATGAACTAATCATGTGATTCAGGTGTGTTGACCCAGGGTGAGATCTAAAACCTGCAGGGACACTGGCCCTCGTGGACTGGGATTGGGGACCCCTGATATAGGCCTTCACTTGGGTTGAGCTCTGGGGAAATGTTTGATCACAGGACAAATGGTCCGATTTCTCCTTTGCCGTCACCATCCTGTGGACTCGTTTGTTGCCCATTTTTATTTGTATAACAACATTCACTGAAGGTTTCTGCCAACAAACATTAAACAAACACTGCTAACATGTGGAAACAGGATCACCTGACTGCCAGCCACGATATGACTTCTACTCGAGAGACTTTTCTCCATGGGTTGGCGTCCCTGAGGATCCTGTCACTGGTAAGATGGTTGCTCTTTACTAGTATGTAATCTATAGACATTATTCCTCAAATAACATAATTCTGACCATGTTTGTGTGTCTAAAAACATTTACATGTAAGCAGCTGGACTAAAGTGATTAAAGAGGATGCATTTACAGGTGTCTTATTACTGAGAGAAAGTGTTAAGCTATTCCTGCTATGCATTCTTTGTTCTGGCAGGCTCTAACCACACCATCCTAGGTAGCTACTGGTCTGAAAAACTAGGAAAAAAGAAAATGCTGGGTACGTATTTGAACCTTCTCCGCCTTTTACTAATGTGTCATTTATCTGATAACAGACGTTGTGTTCCACTTTTATCCATTATTAATCTGCTTATTGTGTCTGTGCAGCTTACCAGTGCTCCAGTCGTGGTGGCGAGCTGGAACTTGAACTGAGGGATGATGGAAGAATCAACATAGCTGGACAGGCCATCACTATTCTGCAGGGAACAATCAAACTGTAGGCTGAGATACATCCAAGAAGACGGTGTCTGATGTTCTATCACAACTATTGTGTCCCTGCAGATAGACACTTTATGGCTCTTGTTTAAAAATGAGATGGCTCAAATAAAAAGAAAAAACGCACTCAAGTCCTGACTGTTCTATCCTGAAATGATTCAACTAACATACGTAGCTTTGTTACGCTTTTTATCATTCATTCATAACATTACAGCAAAAAAATTACAACCAAAAGATTTTAAAATGGTATAAATGGTAAATGGCCTGTATTTATATAGCGCTTTAAAAAAAAACAGAAACACAAGAACACAGCAGGTAAAATTCGAAGAGTCACGATTAGCCTTGTGGTCAGGAGAATTTTTAACATTTGCTACTTATTAATAAATGGGATTCAATAAAATGAAGTACAGCTGATATGGACTAAACTAAAAAATGATACTGTGCAGATTCGTTTTGATCCTAAATAACATGTACATATTCCTGAAATTAAAAGTCATCATGATGACATGTTTGTTTGTTTTTTTTTTTTGTATAATCTGTTCCTGCACAGATGTAGATGCCGATCTGACTCATGTAGGTTTTTACTGACAAACCAATGGAATAAACGAGGCCCACTGACATAGTTAAGTTCTTTTAAAGTTGACATTTCTGGTTACATACTATAGCTCTATCATAGGAAACAGGAAATGACGCTACACCTAGAGCTGGAGAATGTTAACTTTTCTCACATACAGACGATGATGGATGTTGTTGTCATGGCTTTCTAGTTTGTTTTTATGCTAAAGACTGGGCGCATTTCACACTGCCCGCAAACTTGCACAGGTGTGTTCTCGCGAGGTTTCGGGTTATAAACGTTGATTTGTTCTAGTGTTTTTATAGTGACCTCCCACCCGCAGGGGCGCTCTTTCACATCACAAGACCTCCGTGCTGGCAGAGCACGCGAAAGGAAACCCGCCATTGAAGACGTCTCACAACGTGAGAGTTTCGTTGTAGTGCACTCTTTTAACAAAAGGTGCAATTTTTTTCAGCATATACCTACAGCTGGTATTTAGTTGGCGGAATGGCATACAGAGGACAAGGACAGAAGGTCCAGAAGGTTATGGTGCAGCCCATTGTATCCTTTTGTATTGCAGAACGACACTGCGCGGTTGAATTGGTTGCTACAATAGCTTAGCAGCTAGGCTAACATTTAGTCATTCGTAAACATTTGTAGTCACTTATGTGAGGAGAGGAGTTTTACAAGGCATGTAAGCTTTTGTGAAGACCAGTTTCACCCAGAGAAGTCGCGCGGGTATGAAATATGTTTGCAGAAAAAAATGTGGTTTATTGAAATGCAGTCAGAAAGCCAGTGTATAGACTTAGCCGCGTTAATCCCGGTGTCCGGCTCTGTGGTTCCGTGTTATAGCTAAACGCAAAAGAGGCTAATTTCTGCCTTCAAACTACTCAATATGATACCATATGGAGGGTTTTAGGCCCACCAATCGATAGTTATTAACACCAAAATATAATATGATGTGGGAGAGTGAGGAAGTTACGGAATACTTACCTAACGAAAGTGTTTTGACAGTTAATAGCTATAAACTGGAATTACTTTCATCTTCTCAAATATTTTAAATATATAATTAGTTAATTGTTAGTGAAACTTGGTAGTGTTTTCTTTGATTTGCTATCGATCCACGTTTACATGGTCTTATGGGAATGCCAGCAACTGATATTAGTGCTAATATGATGTAAGAATTACCTAAACCTAAAATAATGACAAAAATAAATGTAACTATATTTTAATTATTTGTTAAACAGATTTTTATTTACAAAAGGATCAGGGGAAAATAAAGTTTGCCCTCAAGATATGAAGCCCAAAAGCCAATTTTAAGCCAGGAAGAACCCCTGACCCAAACTCTGACTCTGAATCACATTTCCAATAACTTGGACTAAATGCAAATATAACCATTGACAACATATGTGCACATTTTAACTATAAACATGTTGAACTTGAGTCTGTGTGTATGTCCTTGACTGTGGTTGTCAGAATCTCATTTTCAGGTACCTGCAAAATGTAAGTAGCTTGTAACTTTTTGGTGCATCCTTCTGATTAGTTTTGTTTTCTGGTAATTTTGAAGATAAAACTGTATTCAGTTTATTCTCCCTCTCATTTCCAGCGCTCACGGATCCAGGTTTGGTTGTATGAACAGGTGAACATGCGGATAGAAGGCTGCATTATTGTAAGTAACATGTAACCTTTCTCCATTTTCTTGGTCAGTTTATATAGCTTGATGTTGATGGGCAGTGTGGAAACCCCTCTTAGCCCTACGTCGTAACCTTCCAGGCCAGTCAGTTGTGGCGGGCTGCATTGACCTGGCAGGCAGATTTCTCAGGAGGTGCACGTCGGGTTATGTGGAAGGTTATGGCATAGGGTTAAAGGGGATTTCTGGTTATGTTGTAAGCTACAATGCAGATTTCCCACTGAAGCATAATCTGAACCTCAGTAACCACCCTCTGTAACACACGTTCAAATGTGTCCAGTTGGCAGCCAGTCACAGAGCCAGCCTTCCTGATCAGTTTATCCACTTATTTGGTGTCAGTGTATCTTCTTGTATACAGCCTCAACCTTAGTCTTCCAGTTCAGCCTGTTGTCAGTGTGGATGACCAGGTACTTGTTCTCCTCCTCCACATTAGCATTCTGTCCCAGGATAGACAGAGGTGGTATAGCCACCCATTTTCTTCTGCAGTCTGTCATCTCTGTGGTCCTATTCACATTCAGAAACAGCTGATTCCTCTCTGACAACTCCACCAAATCATCCATTAGTGCTCTGTACTCATTCTGCCCATCATTGATGCATCTGACCACTGCAGAATTATTAGTTTTGTGGTAAGTAAGGTGTGCAAGGTGAGCAGGAGTGGAGATGGCTCAGTTCCCTGTGGAGCTCCTGTACCATGTCATCATTTTGACACCGAGCACTGCCCAGTTTCACATACTGTTTACTCACATTCCCTTTAGCCTTCTCTAAGTAGCAGTGGCTGAAATGTGTTATACGCACCAAAGAAATCAAAGAAGGTGATCTTCACCATGTGCGTGTTGCTATCTAGATAGAAATAAGCTCTCACTAGGAACAAACCTTTGTGACTTGCTGTTCCCCTGTATGGCCACATTATGTCCTAGCATGGCTTAAAATGATTCGGTCTAACTTGAAATGGCCTGATCTATGAGTAGCATTTCCAATCAGGCTGAACTTTCTGTGAGATCAGGCATGTACAAGTTCTAGTTAAACCGATGTGACTCACTTTTGTTGTCTTGTGTCTCATTGCCTTAGGGTTTCGATGAGTACATGAATCTGGTTCTAGACGATGCTGAGGAAGTCCACATGAAGACTAAGAACAGAAAACCATTGGGTAAGAGCGCATCACTTTTTGTAAAGCCGTTTTATTATTTTACAATTTTAGGAAGGTTGACTGTGAAAGGTAAGAATGAAGAAAAATTGTGTGTCATCAAGACGTTGTTGCTTCTCAGGGATTTTTGAAAAACAATTGTCCTGCATATGCATACCAATTCTGAAAATGTTGGGATGCTATGTAAAGTGTAATTGAAAACACTTACAGTGATTTGAAACAAAGAAGCAGAATACAAACACAAAACACATGTAAGAATTTCAAGACAATCGTCAGTCTGCTTTGGTGCATTTTCTGTTTCGTGACGTATTAAATGTTTTCAAATGGTGAAATTGCAGGCCAAATCTGCAGCTGGACTCTGCTGCTACGAAGCCATGCTGTTTTAATAGCTGTGCTATGCGGTCTAGCGTTGTCTTGACGTCATCAGGATGATATATATATATGTTGTTCTAAAGCCTGTATACAACTTTCAGCACTGCTGTCTTTCCACACCTGCAAACTGTCAATTCCATAGGCATAAATCTACCATCGGAGATGCAGACCTATGAACTGAACGCTGATAATAAGGCAGATGGTCCCCCTCCTCTTTAGTCCAGAGTTCATTTTTTCCAAAAATCTTGAATCATCTGATCACAGAGCAGTTTTCCCCTTTTTCTCGGTTCATTTTGAATGAACTTTGGCCCAGACTGGAATTTCTGAATCATGTTCACATATGGCTTTCAACCTGCATTTGTGGATGGCACAGTGAGCTGTGTTCACAGACACTGATTTCCATGACAGAATCATAACAAATTTCCCACGTGTGAGACTAATAAAGGTTGTCTTATCTTATGTCTGATTTTAACGCAGTGCTGCCTGAGGACCTGACCATAGGTGTCAATATATATACAAGTCATTTTATTCTGTTTTTAATTCACAATTTACACAGCATCACAACTTATTCACAGTTGGGATTGTAAGTGAAATCAACTCTTGGATTTTTAGGTGTGTGTGTGTGTTTGTTGGGGGCTGTAGGTGGTTGGTGACGATTGCTCTGTTGTTGCATCATGCCCCTGGCTACTGATCTACTTTATACTGATGTTAGATTTCACATTACTTTTACCCAGTGTTGATGGGGGCATGGTGCTTTGTCTGAAAGTGAACAGACACTTTGTGCCTCCCCTTGTCCATCATCTGGCAGTTCTGTTCTAATTTAGCTTTGATCTCTCCTTCATTCTTTTCTGTGTTGCCCAGGGAGGATCATGTTGAAGGGAGACAACATTACCTTGCTGCAGAGTGTGTCCAACTGAGGCGAGAATGGAGATGTCTACAAACTTCAACTTTTGTAGAAGGAATTGGGTGTTTGTTTTTCTTCAGAGATTAAGTGTTTGTGTTTATGACATGAATATTGTAATTGTTTCTTTCTACCACATGGATCTGTTTGGAGAATAAAGGTTTTTTTTCTTACAGTTGTTCTCTGTTAACTTTTTAGTGTTTCAGACTCTAGATGTGTTTTGGTTTAATGGACTGTGCTGCCGTCTAGTGGCAGACAGAACTATTGCAGTGCACGTATATAGGTCAAATGCACTGCAGCGGCGCAGTTGCATTTAATACATCTGTCTTGTAAGTGCAGGCGTTATTGTGTGTGAAATACAGAAAATGAACATGTGCTTCCTTGTGTAACTTTTCTATGCTGTACATAGTATGAAAGCAGAACTGCTACAAAGAAAATTAGGAGGGCAGAACTTGGGTGCATGCCCAAATTATGTGTGCAGACTACTTAATGTATGTGTACGTTTTGTAAGTCGTGTATAGCTTGTTTATTTTACAAAATGCAGGGAGAATATAAATTGAAACAAATTCGACAATGTACTTTGTACAGTAAATGCTATCTACTGGTCTGATTAGCAAACGGCACAGATGCTGTGAATGTTGATCTTGAATGTTATGTTGAAAAGTTATAAAATCAGGTTATTACTTTACTGGAACCACACACTACTTGGTTTACACAATTATACCATTTTAGCTTTTGGCCTCAAAAAAATGAGCCTTAATGTAGGCAAATTGATTAACGTAATTACGTAGTGAGTCGCTACGCAACTCAACGTGTCCCTGTTCTGTTGACTGGGAAACCCCTAGCGCGGAGCTGCCAACGCCCGGCGTAAAGACACAAATAGAGGATACGGTATGGAAATTTTTTACTCGTTTCTTATTACTATATATTCTTTTGGCTAATGTTTAGGTCTAACTCATGTCACTTTACTGTATAATATGTATTCCTAACACGGATTGTAATCAGCAGTTTATCAGTCTCATTCAGCAACAGCATCCGCTAAGCTTAGCACAGCTCGTTAGCTCGCAAGCTAATTGGGGAGGACAGTAGTTAGCTAGCGAAACAGGCAGGGTGTCTATCGTTAGACCGGTGTGTAAATCAAGCTCCTGGAGTTACTCATAAAGCACACGCAAGTTTTTTTATTGGTGGTTCTGATGTTGTAATGATAAAATAAAACACCTCTTTGTTATTAAGATAAGTTGGTGACGAACCTAAGAATTGACTGGTTACGGTACGCGGTAAGTGGGTTAACAAACAGAATAAACGAGCATAACAAGAGTTTGGTTAAGTTATAATTTTGTAGACAGCATAGCCCCATCGTATAGATGGAAAGCGTAATGTCTGGGTACTAAGGAAAAGATTCATAACACTGACCCTGTAAAATAGGGGATCAGCTGTAAGTTTATCGTTTTAACAGCGGGCAGGAAATTAGGCCAGACTGAGGCCGAGGATGTGGCCGAAATATATGGCTAATGCTACCAAGCTAACAGATCTTTAAGTGGTAGTTATCTCTCAAGTGTGAGGTAAAATGTTCCATAATAGGATATTTACATGCTGACCCTAACAGCTTGGGACACCACTCGCGGCTGCGTAGTTAAACATGTTATAAACTCAGTGTACCAATGGAAGACAAAGTCTAGTTTGAGATTTCGGGTCGGTGATGTCAGATCAAAAATACACATGATTGAGGTCTGTTTTTGTCAAGAATCAGAGGGGAACATTCTTCCCTCCAACGTGCGGAAGTACGTACATGTATCAGTGGAAATTAGAAGTAAGTTATGATCAATCCTTAAGGAAATGCCTCCAACGTAACGATCATTACCGGTTTGTGTTTAAATGTACTGATATTTGATCATGTAGATGACATACGTGTCCGCTTTAAAATAAATCCACACTGCTCAGAGGATTAGCTGACCCGAACATACAAAATCGCAAATTATACAGAGTCCATTTCAGTATGGCAGCTAAATATTTGGAAACTGTTATCAGGCTCAGTTGAGCCGCTTTCGCTATTAGTATTTAAGCAGGGCTGCAGTTAGTGCTGGCTGGCCTACAAACACAAATGTGAGGATTAAGTCTGGCGGCATTAATGCAGCTGCAGTCATCCTTTGGTGCCCATTGCCGTTGGCTTACTACATTGTTACACTTAGATTTATATTTTTTACTTTTACAAGATGAGTTGAGATTTTTATTCAGATTGATGGGACACAGTAAAATACTTGTGTTCATACACTACTGTGTTTCATGGATGTCACGGTGTTCATTGTACAGTGAAATTGACCATGCATTCACCAACCAAAGAATTGCTGTATACAGTGGCGCTTTCTCTTAGTCAGTAATTAGTTGACTTGGTCCTAAGGCACAGTTCTCCTTGATGATGTGCGTTGGAATGTTGTCGATTAGTGTTATGCTTGATTCATCTGCCAACATATGTAATAACAGTGTTCTTGGTTTTCGGAGACAGAAATCTGTCAGTTTGTTGATAAACCAGTGGTGTGTACTCTGAGTGGACTAGAACATGATCAGATAGCGCCTGCTACTTGTCCATGGTGTCTGCAGCAGTTTGCACGTACATCTACGCAGGAGTGTAATCCCAGCCAAATGGAGTGTCTTCACTTTTAGGATTAAGATGAGGCATAATGCAGTTGCTTTATATATTGATTTTTTGGGGTCAACCTTGATAACATATATACTCTGATTAATCAAGTTTTGCATGTCTGACTATTTACTTGTTCAGTAAGAGTGCTTCCTGGCTCAAAGCAGACCAGGGGTGACAGTCCAGGTAATCTTGATTCATCTGGATGCATTTAAGGCAAAGAGTCTGTTTGACCTTAATTACAAGTCTGTGCATTTTTTTGTTATTATTGTAGGGTATGTGTTTTTACAAAATGATTTAAACTTGAAAAAAATCAAAGCCAACTTAGTCTCTGTTTTTTAGTCTTGTGTTCTGGTGATTTTACTTTGAAAGGCCAGACTCTTTTTGGTGGCACCAAATTTTTGTTTATACTGAGAAAACTGCTGTGTAGCATTGTGACACACATGAAACAGTTATCACAACATTAACAAATTCACATGAACGGACAACCATTTATAGTTCAGCATTACAATTCAGTATTTTCAGGCAATGTACGTATGGTCAATTTTTTTGTTTTTACATGTTAAAGTTCACATTATTCACATTATTTAATAAAATCCCTCCTAAAAGAACTGCCCTGTATTGCATCACACCTGGAAAATTTCCAGCCGGAAGCGCCCATTGTTCAGTTTCTGGTAATGCTAGCTGCTCATATGATGCACTTGCGGTAATGGGTAAGCTCCATTAGCACGTACAGCTCCATTCAATTAGATGTTTAATAGCTGTAATTATGTTAAACATTGTTGTATTATAACAACATACTGGATAGAAACATGTTGTATTTTGTGATGAGGTTTTTGTTAATAAGGGGAGATTTGACTTGTGCTCAGAAAATGGTACACGTGTGGGGAAATGATTTTTGGTTTAGAAATGTTCATTATTAGAAGTGGACAACTTCATTTGATTGTGCTCTAATTGCTGGAATAAATCATTAAAGACTTACAAGGCATTTTAAACAATGACATATGCATTAGACATATGCAGTGGCATAGTGGTAGAAATCACATAAATCTGTAGCAGGCATTGCACTGATGATGACAGGGAAAAAAAACTTACAGGTCTAATGTAAAAGCCTTTTTTGAAATGGAGTGGTATGTTGAAGATATTTGGGCTGTTAGTTGGGCACCTGTTTTAGCAGGTTCTGTTTCTGTGTTAAACACTGTAGCGTTTGGTGCCTGCAGTTTTGTCCCTCATGCTTCTCTCAATGACATCCCCACCCCCACACTGTGCTGCAGAGCTCTGCAGTGGCTTAGCACTGACAGACTGTAACTTACAGAGGAGAAATGGGGGAATAGTGTTGCTTGTGTACTACATACAGTGCGTTGTCTCTAAAATCAGGCACACACTGAACAATGTTGTCAGACCAAGAAAGTAGTGCTGTGACATTATACATTACTTACCAAGAAACATGGAAAGACAGACAGCTTTAGAAATAAAAGCAAAAAAGACGAGCAGATGAAGTCAAGCAAAAGCTGTAGTTAAAGCTATACATAGTCATTTAGAAGTGGTTTGAGGCGGATGATGATTGTTGAAGAACCATCAAATGACTGTCAATGAATATTGAATAGTTCTTTTGGTTGAGATTCCCATCCCTACGTAGAACTTGATATTATATATCTACGATAGCCTAATATATCAGGAGTGCCCCAACCTCCTATATGCCTGTCAGTGACTCAGTTAGCATAACAGCAAAGCATCAGCCCCATTAATTAATTTTCTTTGTTGGCTTAGTCTGGTTCCTTTTCATAAATCACTTGTTGGTAAGTTTTTATTTCACTTAAAGTTACATAACAAATTGTTTCCTAGTCGAGTCTTCCTGTCCTCATTTTTATGCGCACTGTCTGCTCCACTCTTAGTGTGTTAGTGGGTGCAAACAAAGTGAAACCGAGAGCGGAGGAAAATGCAAATTAGAATGGCCATAATGGCAACAAGTGAAGAATTCACACTAAGCTGGAAGAAAAGTAGTGCAAATACATTAGCTTAATAACATATATATAATGAGCCCGTGTGCATCCTGTAATATGGACGTTCTGACATGTTAATATGTGTGTTGGTTTCAACAATAAAACACGTCAGTGTAGGTCGAGCCTTGGTGGTGTTCCTACTGGCTCACTATCACAACTGAATAGAACAGATTTGTTGTTTCTTGTATTTGTGCAATTTGAGCTTTTCCTGTGATAACAGTCAGAAAGAACTTTGTAGGTTAGCTTTACTCTTGGAGTTGTGTTCACATCTACACTACATTCACGTTTGATGTTTTAGTTTCTAATTTTGTATAACAAATAAAATAAGATCATGAAGCCACCATTAGTGTTTTTGAGTCTGATCTGTTTCTTGGGTCATATGGGGAAGAGAGACTGCGCCAGCTGATGTTTTCCCTTTTTTCCCAAATTTCCTTTCATGTTTCCTTCCTTCATTTGTGTGAAGCAGGCCTGTGCTGTGTCCAGTTGTTAAGCTGTACTGACCCTCAGTCCATTAACTGTAAAAAGCTCATTGGAGCCTTTCCAGTTTAATTCCCGTAGTTAGTGGAGGTTACTGGTTTTCACTTCACTTCCTGTGGCAAGTAAATCACGATTTGTAGTCAGAGTTTAGGTAAAAAGTTCTTAACCAACATTTTGTCTTTTACAAATAATGAAAAATGCCATCTGGTACTCAGCTTACAAAAAATGGCTATTCCTTGGTCCATGCATTTTTCTCCTAATATGAGCTCACCTCAAACAAAATGCTCCTGTCAGAAGTCCACATGTATAATGTAGAGTAAAATAATAATGATCAAAGATGATATTTTTAAATTTATCTGTGGTATGTCTGTGAAAGTTGTTCAGCCAAAAAGTAAATTATTAAATGTGCCTCTTTTCTTTTCCAGATCTTGAATGAGTAGCAAAGACTGTAACACACAGCTATGCAGACCATTAAGTGTGTTGTAGTTGGTGATGGTGCTGTGGGTAAAACCTGCCTGCTCATCTCTTACACCACAAACAAGTTTCCCTCTGAATATGTACCTACGGTAAGTGCGTCAATCTCTACATTAGATTTTAAATGTTTTAGTTACCACATGTTCAGCGAACCACACACACGTGAGTTTATATTTGCTTGTTGCACAATTTACAGAAGATTCAGCTGGAGTTTGGAGTTTGAGTACATACAATGCTGTTTGCATGTTTCCGTTGATCCTGCAGAGGTCTGAACAGGATGTTTGCTATTGTTGACTAATTGGCCTTGACCACTAAGTACGTGATCAAAGTTGTGTTCTGTATGCAGCTTTACAAACACACAATCAGGTCGAAGAACCTGTGGAATATGGTTTATTTGAAGGATGTTGAATAAGAGTAACAGACGAGCATTTTGAATATATTATTTCTCAGCTCTGCAGTGTAAATAAATGTGTCTATAACTGTATCTTTAGTTCTATTGCGTTATGAGTGGCCGAGCTGATTTTGGTCTGTGTGTTGCAGGTGTTTGATAACTATGCTGTAACTGTAATGATTGGAGGTGAGCCCTACACTCTGGGCTTGTTTGATACAGCAGGTATGTTACATTTCACTTTCTATTATAAAGTAGGAATCACGCTTTCAGAAGCAGCTTGTCTGTCTTCACACTGCAGCCACAGGGGAGCTTTAGTAAATGTAGAGTTTGCGTGATGTTTTCTTTCAGTCAGAGTTGTGCTTTCTGTTTTTGTTGCTCAGCCTCTGTTGGCTTACGTGCCGACCAAACAATTAGAGTTAAATATAATTTTTGTGTGGCTTCTCCAGGTCAGGAAGATTACGACAGGTTACGACCTCTGAGTTATCCCCAGACAGATGTCTTCCTCGTCTGTTTCTCTGTCGTGTCCCCATCCTCCTTTGAAAATGTCAAAGAAAAGGTAAGTGTGACCTGTTCATTTTGGGTTTTTTCTGTTAGTGTAAAAATGAACATGTTGTAACAGTTTGTTTCATACTGTGTAATATATACTGCATATTATTTATTTTGTAAAAATGATGAATTATGGGTTGCTCAAATTTTACTGGCAGGTACAGTACTAATTAGCCGTTTGGTACAAAAAGTCAGAGGGAAGGGAACTTGGTTAGAAATGCAGTGCTTATCTGAGGATGCAAATGCCTTAAAAAGGGTTAAAATAAAGGGCTCTCTTCAAATTTCTAAAATAAAATTAACATTTTCCTAATTTTGTTTAATAAGAAAACCCCCCGGTATTCCGCACATGTGTGGTATTGTGCTGACTCTTGTATTTGTCCATTTAGTGGGTTCCCGAGATCACCCACCACTGTCCAAAGACGCCCTTCCTTCTAGTTGGGACTCAGATCGACTTGCGAGATGATCCCTCCACTATAGAGAAGCTGGCTAAGAACAAGCAAAAGCCCATTACTCCGGAGACAGCCGAGAAGCTGGCAAGAGATCTCAAGGCTGTGAAATATGTGGAGTGCTCAGCCCTCACACAGGTACTGTATATACTCGGATATAAAAGATTTACAGTCACACACACACACTCTCAGAGACGAGTATGATGGATACTTCAGTGGCAAGAACTAAGAAAGTGGAGGAAAGAGGAACATGCCTGTACCCCCACTGTCCTGTGCATGTTTGTTCTGCATGCTGGTTTGATCTTGGTAATTGATGTAACTTGTGGGTTCACTGATGTCGCTAGTTGGAAATGATTCTTGCTACAGTAAGCAGACCTTCATTTAGGTAAACTGTTACTTATTCAGCTGCACTGGTCTTGAGCATAGTCACATGGTAGATTAGCCAACTTTTCTTAACAGTGGGGTGGATTTTAAGCAAATGCACTAAATGTTAGAGTTTAGGATTCTGGGTGAGCAGACCTAAAGCGATTAAAGCGTAGGAAGGAGAGAGTTCATGTTTTGCAAACCTCTCCAGTATATGTGCTTGTTAAAGCCTATGGGCTTTACACCAAATCATGGACCAGCAATCGCTCCTGGGATCAGCTGATGGTGTTTGCAGTAATAGAACAGGCACAAACACATTATTGTGTCAGCATTTTGACTAAATGGCAAAGTAAAATGTTTCTAGTTTATGAAGGCAAACTTGCAGCTAGTTAGTTGTTTGTTTGTTTGGTTTTTTTGCACTGTTTCTAAAGAGGACCAAAGGTAGACAGTGGGCTTCATGTCAAATTCAGGAGCGTTTGACTTCTCTGTGGTAGATTTAATGTTATATTATTGAGTGCTTGTGTTGACTAAATCAGTCAGTGCCTTTAAAGGCTTTACCTGCTCAGTTATGTCCCGAGTTTGTTTGCGTTGGCGTTGATGCATAACTGTTAGAAACTGAAGCACAGTAAGCATGACTCAGAGGAGAGCAGGTGACTTGGATCTCTGATTCTGAACAATAGTGTTGATAAAGCTGGGGTGCCCCCACCTCCCTGCTCTGCTCCTTCCTTCCTCTACTCCCCCCTATCTCACTGGCACAAAAGTTGCATAGCTGCTGATGTCATTTCCTGTTTCCTGTTGGGGATCTCAACACCCAGGTCCCCAGCTCACTTTCAGCCCCCTGCTAAACAACTTCCTTGTCTTCATTCAGTGTTGACACGGCTGCACGGCACTCCTCGTCTTTACGCTATGAAACCTTCCTCCTCACTCTGCCATGTTCCTCTTCTTCTCCTCCTCTTCTTTGGTCTCTCTCTCTGTGTTTGCTCTGCTAATTGCACTCTTGTTCTCTTCCCTCTCTTCCTGTCGTCGTAGCGAGGGCTGAAGAATGTTTTTGACGAAGCTATCCTAGCTGCCCTAGAGCCTCCTGAGACGCAAAGAAAGAGGAAATGTTGTTTATTTTAAACTTTCTGTGCCACATCGCTCATGTCTTCTTCCTGTCATTGCTGTTTATCCATTTTTCATTCCCTTACTCCACTTCTCTCCTCCTTCCCATTTTCTCTCTCTCTCTCTCTGCATTTGCTGCTTAAAACTCTCATCTGTCTCAATCTCAGCCATCTATTAACAGATCCACCAGTTTGATACTCAGACGGCTTCTCTACTCTGCATTAAGATTGCGTTTCTCATCTTTGTTCTGTGGCTTGTTAAACTAACCAGAGGCCTTTCTGCACTTAAAAATACTTGTTGCCTTTTCTAATTTGGTTTACTTGGCATCATATCGTCATATTTTTCTTCTGGATTAGTGTTACCACCTGCAGCATTTCACATCCTAATTCTTGGACCACTCTGTGTCTTAAACTGTTTTCACACATGAACTCTGGACAGTCAAACACAGTTGTCCTTTCTGGAAGGATAAATTCTGCACACAGATACCTCCTTCATTCTAACATGGACTTAAACGCCACCACGCCTCTGAATTGAACTCATTCTAAAAGATGAGATTAAACATTATTGTGTGTGTGTTTAAGAGCCACTGAAAATTGATCGCAGTCAGTGACCACATTTTTTTTAAACGTGTCACTTTCTGTAGTTTATAGTGCTCCAGACACATAATGTTAGGGTGCTGAATGTAGTAGCACCAGCAGTCTTCTTTCCTTTTTAAAATACGAATGGAAAAAGAATAGAGCAAAACTAGCTATAAAATACAAACTGTAAGAACTCACACATCTGTGCAGTGCTGTTTACTCACTGCTGTCTGTAGGCTGTTGACACAGTCTGCAGACAACTTTCCACTCTCTACGTCAGAGTGCTACAGGTCATCTGTTTTACTTTCCACATTGTTTGTTTGTAATTTCAAATTAAAGAGAAAGCAGAAATAAGCCTAACACCAATATTAAAATCATACAATAATAAAATGTGAATAAATAGCACAGCAAGAGCAGCAGCTGTGTACATTGACAGTCATTCACACACTGTGTTGAAACAGCCGGGTCGGTAAAGCTGGTTCATTGTGACACCGTCTGAAAGGTTCGTGTGTGAAAACGTCTTGAGTTTAGCTTATTAACAAGACCTGTGTCTAACAATAGGTGGCTAGTGTCTAGAAGGATACATCCTTTGTTTGGGATAGTCCTCGATTCTTTGTGAGCTCTGTGTGAGTAGTAGTCGGTGTGAAGGTGGTGGCTTTACAGGCTGAGATTGAGCTTACACTCAACAGAGCTTCCATTTCTAATGCTAAAGTATTTTTTATACTTCTACAGTTATGTTTAATTTATCAGAATCTGAAGTGTGACTGTGGTTTCTCACGCAGGGCTTTTAACTGCTCAAGTCACCTATGGGAGTGTCTGACCTCAGCAGACATTGCTTTGTGCTGGTGTCATGGTACTGTCATTGATCTATTTTATAGCTAAGCCACACTTGATGATACTTGCAAGCCGTGTTTAGTGACTTATTTCGCTTTCTCTACATATAACATCAGTGTGCCATTACCTGTGGTACAGATTGTGTTGTATTAGAAGTCTATATAATAATAAAAGCTATAATTGTGTGAAATGACTTGTGAACTGAATTAATAAAGGACAACTTAACTTGCGCTCATCTGGCTTCCGTCTTTTTTCAGTGCCGTGTCTAGTAGCTTGGTCAGCTGAGATAGGCAACGCAGTGCAGCTCTGGTTACCTCACATGACTGAGCTCATGACGTAAGCAGTTCTGCTCGGGTTAATACAGAGGTTCCCCTCTTGCGCTCGGCAAGTGCTTGATTGTGGTCATGTGTTTGGAACATGAACCAGTGAAGTCAAGAAAAAGTTCTTGTTTGCCGTTGTAATGTCAAGGGTTATGTCCTGTTTTTCCTCCACTTGCTTGTTTGACTTGCCTTTGATTTCGGCTGTCTCAGGTCAGCTGCACTTTTCAGACATGCATGTGATTTGTGTTGTTGACACTTAATCCCTGATCTGGCTTACACAACTGAAAGTACCACAAGACATCGTTTCCCACACAGACTTTACTTGGGAGGGTACTCCAGGGATGCTGATGGCTAACTAAGTTTAGTGTGTAACTTATTTTTTATTTACAGTTTGATCGATTTAGTCACTGCTAAGCATGTAGACTAATAATATAAATTCTGTAATGCAATTGTTTGGTTCTGCAGTCAGATAAACTCCAACTAAACTATGCTGGACTGCAGCTGGTCAAAGTAGACTTTATTCTACTTAAAAGATGTGCTTTAAGGCCACTCTAACCTGACCTCACAGCAAGATGTAGCTCACTGAGACCACAGAGCAAAACAAGGACTACAGTCAGCAGCTCTGCACAGGATCAGGAGTTTAATGTAGAGGCAGCAATTTTTGCGTATTATTGTCACAGAGAATGTGTGCTATTATTTGTTAAATTATTTTAAAAAGCACGGGTGCACCTCCTGTGTCATTTGTCTGATTCTGTGGGAAACACTACATGACAGTCTCCTGACTTGTTCATTGCAGATCCTACTTGGAAATTTTATGTTGTTTTATCTTTTTCTTTGCAATCCCACCAGCTTCCCCTCTTTCTTATGAAACCCCTCTGAATTACCTTCAGTGTGTTTTGATTTTTCACTGCCCCCCCCCCGTTGAAGCCATTTCTGCCTTTTGTTGCAAGATCTTTTTTTTGTTTGTTTTAAATCTGTGTGTGTGTGTGTGTGTGTGTGTGTGTTTGCGCTGCTCCCTCATTCTGTTTGTATGTTTTTGTTCACAGAAAGGACTAAAGAATGTGTTTGATGAGGCGATATTGGCTGCATTGGAGCCCCCAGAGCCCAAGAAGAAACGCAAATGTGTGCTGCTATGAGAGGCTCCTACCTTTCCAAAGCACACACCCCCTTCACTCACGCATACACACACACACACACACACACACACACACACAGAAATACACACGTCTTTAAATACATACATCCCTGCCTCTCCCAAACCCCCCTCCCTTGCTCTGCTAAGGCTGCTTGACAGCATTGTTTTCCTTGTGGAAGACTAGGAAGAAAACAGCCTACCAAGTTTCAGATAATTCTCTGCAATAATAACAACCAAGCTTCACCCCTGCGTCTGAGTTCGGGATAAAACATGAACGTTACATGGCCAAGAAGCCAGTGAGGGCTCAGACAGGGATCCAGATACCAAGCATACTCACAAGTAGAAATCCCTCTGTCGAGCTTTGGATAGCTGATTTCATTAGTTCAGTCAGTGTTGTGGCCTAATCGAGTTCTAGCTGTCCAGCCGTGTAGTCGTCTTCAGCCAATGTAAGGGTCTCGTGGACATAAGCCCAGCCCCAGCCCCTCCCAGCTGCTTAATTAGCAGCTGCTCATGCTGCTGTTCCCGTCGCCTCAGTTGACGAGCACGCTCATTGCTCAGCCCCCTCTATGTTCTCACTCAGCACTACCACAAGAGATGCTAACAGAGTAGTGTTGTTGATTTTGTTTGCCAACACCTCCTTTATCCCTCAAACAGTCTGAGATATTTACTCGATGTTCCAAGTAGACGCGCTCTTAACCACTAGGACACCGTGGAGGTTTGACACAGCTCGGTAATTCAGTCAAGGCTCCATCAAGCCTTACCTCCACAGTACAGAGTAGCAGTCTTTTTAGAGTGTGGAAATCACTTGAAAAGCTAAAGGCATTCATTAGTAATGGGTCTCATAGTCGACCACAGGAATTGGCCTTTTAGATGGAGGGAACTTAAACAGTGTTAGCAGAACAAGCGGTTGTTCTTCATGCGTTGCCAGGGACCAAGTAGAATACTGTTTTCACATTGTCATCACCGTACACTGAGAACGGGCATAGCAGAGACAACTGTGTTAAATGACGAATGCTTATTGGCCAGACAACAGATGAGCAAATGTGAATTTTCACCAGATTTCTGTGCCAGGTCAGAATTTGGTGCCTTCCTGTAGTGCGTCATATATATACAGGCAGAGGTGTGAGGCCTGTTGTACCCATTCACACTGTACGGTGCTGCATGTAGCTCGGCCTTGGTCTCTGTTCTAAATGATAGGTTTAACAGATGTAATTATAATGTAAGCTGGCACACAATGTTCATGTAGGCTCCAGGTGTTTTTACCAAAATCTGTTTTTCTTTATCATTTCTGTTTGTGTGTTGTTGTTTTTTTAATTTTTATTTTTTTTATTATTATTTCATTCATATATATATATATATATATATATATGAATGAATAAAAAAGGTTACTTTCACTCCTTTTACATTTTAGGGGTCGGAACTCATCTGAACTCTCACCCGCCAGTTTATACCAAGTAAACCTCTGATTGGTTTAGCTGAATAAAAACCTCCAATGGCAGCGAGACTGTTTGGTAATGATTATTTGTGATTGGTTGGTTCTTGTTTTTCTTTACTGGTGGCTTAGAGTTGGGTCGACGTCCAGCCCAAGTCAGTAAAATTATTATTATAACCTGTTGTTGTTTTGGTGCAAAACCAAATGCTTTGTCTAAAGTCTTTGTTCTTTGTATATGCATTCTTTTCAAAAATATTAAACTTATACCTTAATTGCCTTTACCACGTTGCACTTGCTGTTCTTTGTTTTTCCAGCCAGCAGGTGGAGCTGTCTAATCACATCTCCATCGTCTATATCCTTCATTCGAAGCTGATAAATGAAAATGTTGCAAAACGCCCACAAAAGTTCACTGAAATGTTTTGTTTTTTTCCATTACAAAAATCTAAAGCATCATTACAAAAAATATTAATTATGTTGACAGGTTTGAACAGATTTTCAGGATTGCATTGTCAGAATATTTTAGTTTAGAGGTCCGTACGTTGGGAAGGTGTGTGTTTACCTGCTGAAAACTACTTCGCTTAGCATGTTACCATGTTATCCTGATGAGAGACGAAACCATTTTCCTACTCATGGACTCATGGCCCGTTTTTTTTACTATGTATCATTGGTGATGCTCTTAAATTGAGTGGGAAAATGTAAGTTGTCTCCATTACATACAGTATTCATCTCATTACATAAGTCTTACCTTACACGGTAGTAAAGTATAGCCCCTTGTATATTTGGAGGATTCCCAGCATGCCAACTTTGATTAAGCTATTCTGTAATACTTGGCCAGTAATTAAAATACTGATCATAGTTAAACTGTCTAGCCAGATTTTCATTCTTTTCAAAATGAAAGTGCGCTGTTAGTCTAGTGACTCGATCCAGAGGTTCAGCCTCAAAGAGAGATCAACAAACCAACTTGACTAGGTAGGATTTTTTCCTTTTGTAAGATAACATATATTTTGGAGCCTTTTTTGTTTCTTTTCTACAAACCAAGCATCCCCGTTAAACCACAGCGACTAACACCTTGTGACGTTACCTTGCTTGTGTGCATTAGAATTATCCATAGATTATATAAAAAGATAGCTGTAGCTTCCAGATCCTACAAGTAAAACTTCCATTCATTTTAATGGCCAGTAGAGGGCAACTTCTGAATTATTCAGATTATATAAATATCTAAAGGAAAACAGCCGTGCTTTTGTTCATATAGCACCAAATCTCAATAACAGTCACCTCAAAGTGATTTAGAAGGATACAACCCTCATTGGGGAAATTCATGTATTCCTGCAGCAAAGTTACAGGAAGATGGAGCATCCGGATTCATGGTATTATTATTATTATTATTATTATTATTATTATTAAATGTATTATTTATATTGTAAAGAACTAAAGAGGAAACTCCAACAATCGGACGACCTCTTATGAGAAAGCACTTGGCAACAGTGGGAAAGAAAAACTCCTGTTTAACTGGAAGAAACCACCAACAGAAGCAGGCTCAAGAGGTGGGAAGCCTCTGCAGCAATTGGTTGGGTGTGGGGGGAGGAAGACATGATAAAAGACACACTGTGGAAGAGAGACAGAGATTAATAATAACTAATAATTGCAGAGTGGTGTATAAACACAGAGAGAGATATAGTGGGTCAACATCCCTCTTAAGGGTTTAAATACATGAAACTCCACCATTTGATTGTAGAAGTTTCTTGGATGACAGGTGAGATGTCGTCATGAAACTCACATAAATCCGGTCCCTTTCTTTTCAAGCTCCTTTGACTATCGTTACCTGGATGACAGATCACCCATGTCCTTCAAAACCAGTGCCATATTTTAAAGACGATTAAAACATAGTTTGAACGTTGCTATTCTCGAATGTGATCTTTTATTTCCTATTAAATGAATCACTCGCCTTCCATCACACGCAGACTCACGCAGGATCCAGCCGTGTGCTGATGTCAGATGGTGTTGAGTGATCGGTATTATTTTCATACAGCTTGCGCAGATGTCCCAAAATTCCTCAAATGACAGCAAATGAGGGTAATCTCCCAAGTTTCATGACCTGGATCATCTGCCACAGACAGTTGGGATGGATGTTACGCAGCAGCCCCCACCACCCCTCACCCGTGGATCCCCTATTCACCCTCATCCACCCCAGTGAGGCGTTCACACATTCCCTGAGTTTCTGGAGTGCTGTCTGTCAGCGCCTTCTTCCGCTAAAGAGACGCTGACAGCCATTAATTATCACACGGGCTGAACGAAGGGCATTCCTCTCTGCTGAAATATTCATGCAGACACACACGCAGATGCTCCTCAGCCCTCTGCATCCACACACATATGCTGAGAGACGCCACCTGGCCTCCACCGGTCTTCATTGCATTTGACAAATGAGTAAACGTTTTGTTCCAAGCAGTTGTCCGATCCCCGCCGAGCCTGGGACGAGCAGGCCGAGGCCGCGATGTAATAACCGCTCACCACACCAGCACACATAAAAACACACGCAGCGCTGGCCTTCAGCTGCATGTGCTGCACCCACTTTTATGAGACGATTTTATGATGATCTGCACAGATACTGATTTGTGATGAAAAGCACGCTGAGGATTTTAGCAGTTTATCGGAGCTAAGCGGTAAATCACCGTTCCGACATCTCAGCTGTATACAGTACGAGGGCACGTGTGCGCGATGTGTGTGCGCGCATGGAAATAACTCTCCAGTGCTGGCTGAAGCCACAGGACACAGCACTGAAGGCTTGACAGTTTGTGTTGTTTCAGTGTCCGGAGTCGCTTCCAACACACAGAACACAATGTGGTTTTTTTATGTGGATGTTGGCTGGGGTGTAGAGCTGCAGGTTTGGTTTAATTGCTCTCCAGCAGGTAGAAGGGGGAAGCTGGGAGAAAACTGAGGGTGGAGAGTGTGGGGTCTTTATTTTTACACCAGCCGTGTTATAAATCATTGGGGGAAGTGGCCCTGAGCACTTGGGTTTATTCCATCGAAAAGCTGTTTGTACTGGATGAAGAGATTGTCATCCTTGCTCGGTGCCAGACACTAACTGATGCAGCTTACAGTTACCCAGCATTGGGAGCGCTTGGCCACACCTAGAAAAATCACTGTGCAGATGTTTTTGACCCCACTTACACTGAACTTCCCTCCTTATAGCACAGTACATTTTAGGGAACGTTGTAGGACTGTCTGAGAGAAATTGCTTAAATATGACAGGGATCTGCTAAAGGATGAAGAGGATTGAACTATGTCTTGTTCATCAGTAGGAGCAGAGTGATGCAGGTGATTGGCAGATAGGCTGGTGTGGCAGTAAGTTTATTAGTGTGCTTAACTTCAGC